TATTGCCCTCGATTCAGCCTAAGCTAACGACAGCCACATCAGGTGCGCTAAATATGTACATCGTAACGTATATATATATAGATAGATTGACTAGTGGGTACTGCAAAAAAAAAGCTACAACTTTATGCGTTTCGCTATTCAATGTATATAGGAACAGCTTTTGTAGTAGCAGCACAGGATAAGGTTCACTGTGCTGTGGGCAGCCACTGTGGCAGTTGTCAGCAGGCCGTTGTGGCTATCGTTTCGCTCGACAGTATCCGTGGCCTGCTGTTGCTGTCGGCGACAGTAATAAACTACAGTTAGTTTTCCTATGGTAATCTTTTTTATTTAACTAGTGCCATGCCATCAGCAGTAGGCCACTGTAATCGAGCGCTGGTTGGCCAACAGATGAGCAACTGTTTGATGCTATTCACCGCGACGGGTACGGCAAAGCGACAAGCAGCGATTGTCGTTCAATAGCGATAGACATCGGCTCGACCCAGCTATTAACAAGTGGGTCATACGTAGATGGCACCAAACGTAGCAACAGACGGACAGAACGTTGACAACACTACAGCTCCGCGTAGAATTAGCAGTGCTATAGCTGGTCACTTCGTTGACTAGCTGAACTCTCGTGATGATACAATCGACGCCGACGCTTAAGAATATTGCAACGTTATATTGATTCAGGAACAAAGAGCTCCTACACTGTTTACTAGTATAATTCGAGATGGAACGTCACAATATGATTATATTTTTTTTTTTTCTCACTCGGTTATGCAGTGAGATTGTGGAAAAAGCCATGATAGATATATCAGAAGAGTAGTCAACGAAACGACTGGATCATTCCACCCGCAACGTTTTGTCGCACCTCATTTCTTTCATTGGCGAAGTCGTTAATACAAGTCACTCACAAGACGAACAATGACCGACGCGATCCTCATCTTGCTACAAAACGACTAGAGGGGTCGATTTTCACCGAACCAACCGAGCGGTTTACGGTGAAGACACGATCGCAATCGGCCCAACTCACATAGAAGCTCTGCTGTAGAGACGACACAGTGAACACAGATCTAGTGCCGTTACCATCTTCTACTGGTAGTATTTACGCATCGTTCGCTATTACATCGAATAGCATCAGACGAGGATAGCTCACTCAACGCTTGAAGCGGCGCGGAGCTAGAAATGTCCTGTGAGAAAAACTATTGACAAACGCATTGCGTAGCATCCTACAGATTTGAGGCGCATAAACATGTACTCATAAGGCCACCGCGTGTGATGCGATCTCTTAAAAATCGTGCGACAAACAATAAACGGCGTATACCGTGCTAGAAGTGACAGCTTGCGTCGAAATTAATTTTTGTCTTAAGTTATCTTTTGTAAATGTTTATTTTCCAGTGTGTGCTTCCTCCCGCTGATCCACTCCATGAACATGTTACGACTGCCCCTTCTCCTAGGATACGCTTGAGTCAATCCCTGTTTAAATCCTATTAAATACGAGCGGCACGTTGACACATCCCTACGCATTGGCGTCGCTGTTACCTAACGTGATGTGCGCTCCTCGAATCAATATACATTCGCACGTATTTCACAACAGCCGACAACGTTTCACTAGCTTTTGTAGAAGCGTATGCTCTTTTAAAATCATACAGGATTCGACACCCTCTCTGTTCTTGCGATTACCTTCTAGTTCTGCTGTGGGTTGTTGCGCGACTATGGCCGGAGTTGGCTAAGGACGAAAACGATAACAACGACTCAAGCGAAAGTCTGCGTCCACTCAATTCGTGAGAAGTTATTTTTCTTCCCTCCGATCGATCCAAACGTCGCCTGTTGCTATCTCTTCTGGTTTACCTCGACGAGTGCTTGGCCAATTCATCCATTCTTCGCTTGGCGTAAAGTTCCTGTCGCGCGGATTGCTCGTGATGCTTCTGAGAAGGGGTGCCGCTTCGAGCTGTACGAAACCAACAGATCAGGCACTTGCAGCGAACGAACAGCTTTTATATGAAGCCGCGCAGCTCTGGATGAAGGTCGTGAAGAAGTTAACTCACGGACCTCAGCAAAAAGCTCGTCAAACACAGCGACAACGAAATATGTCAGCATAAGACTGGTTCTCAAAACGTGTCAGGAGCATTGAGAGGGTATTTACAGGCTATTGCGTAAGATCGTCCAGCAATGATGACCTAGTGACCGCCGTCAATCTGTTATTTTTGACTTACCCGTTTTTGCCTGAAATTGGTACTCGAAAAACAGCTTTTATATCCTTATTTTTATGCAAATTATTCTTACGTCGCCTTTCGCAGGTACAAGTCATTAGCTTCAAGTTCCCCGTGAAAATATTCTTGAAGTAAAGAGGGATCTAGCGCTTGGTTATCGTCAGCGACTGAGATTGCCGCAAGCTCTTACGGCTGCCAACGGCCTCAGCTACTGTTGAAGAGCCCCAAAAAAATAACGTTGCTATCACTTTGACGTGCGAGTGCCTGCACCAGAGTTAGGCCGAGGCAGGCCGAGCCTTTTGGACGAACTAACGTGTCGTGGTCAGCAAAAATTAATAAATGACAGAAGGAGTTACTTGGAGGAGCACATGGCCGAACTCTGCCCTTGCAAGTCGCATCGATCGTGGCTGCTGCAGCAGCAGCAGCATCGGCAAGGAAAACAGCATTTACCGGAACCCACAGGTTGATCCAGGAGGAGAACATAAATGAAGTTAAGACCTTGTTAGCTTTAATTAAGCACACCGATGAAAACATGGTGCGTCGCTTGCTATTGCTTTGTGATGACGTCCTTATAAAGTAGGGGTCCTAGGGCGTCTAGATCGTTCGCTATTTTCGTCGTTCGCACCTTGTCACTAGCTCCACTCCTACGTCTTTCTCATAAGTGGTACCAGCTCGTTCAGGACAGTCATCAATAACTGTCAAAGGTAGTTAATTTAATGATGAATTATTTTGAGTCTGTATACTGAAAAATCTGACAATTTCTAGCCTTCAGGAATACACGGTTACGACTTACAGAGGCAAAGTAACCCCATCCCTAAATAGATGCAAACTGTTAGAGGTAAATGAACTCTTAGCTTTTATGGCGGTCTCAATACATGCATTTCGTTGAAACACATAGGATAAATCCTATTTAACATCGGCTTACTTGCATATGGTATGCTGTGAACGGAGACCAAGCCCAGCAACGGCGTCGTCAATGCAAACTAACCACAGCTCATCTTTTGGCGGCCATGGAGAAACGTATTTACCATTTTACCTATTCGCAACATGTTGCATCCGATGAAATCGTCATTTACCGAGGGATGGCAGGAGAAATTACCGCATATATATGATATTAGTATAGTCTGCTGTTCATTACAGCTACTGGTTCGCCGGCTGTCTGCCGGTCTGTCTATTGGCTACTCCCATTTTCCTATTTGAGGTAACCTATTTAATGTCGCCATGTGTCCCAGCTCCGCGTTATTCAAGAGCAAAGGAAAATACATTTGTTAACCCTAAAAACCTGTAAACCTGTACAAGATACAGTCGTAAGGCGGCTAATATCATATAAACTATGTTTAGTAGCGAAGCACTATGTAATACGATAAAATGCATTCGAGAAAACACATAATTTCCTTCAATGCGCGTCAGCAGAAGCCGTATGTGGTACTGTTATTGTTGTTAGTGTTCCGCAGACGATAGTACCACAAATACAGTTATATATAAGCTTTAAAAGCTAAAATTTAATGGTAAATTTCAATATGCTCATCTATTTAAGTTCTAAAATTTACCAGTTAGTACGTCTTTGAAAATCCGAAGGCTACCGAAGCTTTGAAAATTTAGCTCTTATTTGGCAAATATACGTCATTTAAATTAAAAATTTCATAAAACCGTAACCGGAATCGACGCGACACGCACATGATCGTCCATTTCATTCGGTAAAGTAACACGACTATTGTTATTAAGTATATCACAATTTGAGGTAAACTTCTTTTTATGAGCACACACGACCTCTTGCTTTGCAATTAGATCTATCATATAAGTTGCTCGTAACGCTTCACCACACAGCCTTCAGCTGCTTTGCAATTGCAGTTCATCGACCTAGCGAGATAGCATCGCTCATCTTTAAATAGTTATAATTTATGGCATATATATGCATATACCTATATGGAAGTTAGGCTTCAAACGTAAATAGATGAAGAGCTATTGCTTACGACGTCTGTTGGCAGCACCCTATCACTAAAAGCCATACGGATAATTAGGGCTAATCTAAGTTGACCACTGGTTAGAGCTACCCTAGGAATTACTGTAAATTTTTACGCCGAGGCAATACCTATACGCGAACTGCGGTCTCAAAGAATTCCTGCTACGTGTTTGAACAATTCAATTTACGTCAACGTTATACATGTACTACGTTCACGTTCATATTAACGCCACCAATTTGTTATGTAACGAACGAGCAATTAGATATGAACCTTGTCACCATCACCGGATCTCGGCGATTTTTGCCTGGTATGCAGCTGAGCGGCCGACTGTAAGCAATCATAGTTAGAATGAAACCATCGGATCCGCTTCGTCAGTGTAGCTGAAGAGTGATCACCCTCCAACTGGATCACAGACCAAAGACTCGATAACGGAAACGCTAATGTTAGGGCTCAATAAACGAATCAGCCACAGGGGCAAATTTGAAAGCAGAACTGACAAACGAGTGTCATCGATGGTCAGTTGGATCACTGCGATGAGAAGCTTCTCTATCTAGCGAAGACAATTTCAATACGCCAGAACATCATTTGTTGGTAAACTCGAAAGCCAGTAGCCAGAAGAGAGAATAACTAAGTGGGCCTAAATCACCTAAGTCGACTCACGCTGCCATCTCCGTACCGAACCTATATGTCGAGTACAAATCAAGTACGATATAGCAAGAAGAAGATAAACGATACATAATGAATCAAACTATTTTCCATCTTTCCGAGAAAGAACACGTTCCTAAGCTGTTTTCGTTACCGTTCGAAGCTTCGTGATTATAAAGCGAATAGGACTCGCCTTTTGCAGTGTGCGTCCGTACCTTCAGATGTTGCAGCGTTCTATATAGCAGCTCTATCAATATATCATCGGATAGCGTGCAGCATTCGCTATCCATATCAAATGATATCTCTATACTGTTTTCGAAATTCGACATTTCTCGTTGTTAACTGCGGCAGTTGCTTAGCGAGCGGAATTTTCCGCTGCGCCCACTCAAAAAAAGACAGTTCGGTTCTTCATTGTTGTATATTGTTGCTAGCAAGCAAAAAGGTCAACAGAAAAAAAGGGATCTTTTCGGTGGATCCTCATTGTCAAACCTGACTTCTGCTTGTGTTCATCGCGTGCCCCAGATTTGGAATGAGGCAACTCTGAACTGCTTGGCGAAATTCCATCCAGAGAAATCCGCTTGTTCCATTCTTCACTGCTAGAACTTGATTTCGCTGCGCGAGCAATCGTGCGTTGACACCTTTGTGTTTTCTGCATGCATTTATTATATGATTGTCTCTCACGCACGCACGCACACACGCACGCACGCACGCACGCACGTACGTACGTTTGTTTGTCTCGGGTGTCTGGTTTGGCTCACATTTCTCAGTGCTCGAACCAGGCGAGCAGTCTGCAGAAAGCCAGTAGAATGTCTGCTTGAAGGGCAAAAACAAATTGAAAACGTCGACCTAATACATGAAGAGCTTAGCACAAAAGGCTGTTTAACTGCAGTGTAACTGATGTATGCTGGTATATAATATAGGATTCAGCTGAGATAGATCCACGGCGGATAGTGTTGAATTCTATGCATAGTTGCCGAGGATCGATAACCCGTTTAAAATCGTTCGATGCCGACCTGCTGATCCAATGTGAACCGAGCAAAAACTCGTCGTATGAAATCGGTAGAGGTGAATAAAGTATTCTTAGAAAAGTACAGAATGCCATTCTAGCTTGGGCTGTAGCTAGCAACAGCCGTTCCATCTAGAAAAGTGCCGTAAACAAGATACCGTTCGACAAGAAACGTCTGCATAAACGAGACACGTAAGCCATATATTTTGTTCTAGTTGATATTTTCCCTGCTTTACAATTTTTTAACTATGCTATTTTCAAAGAGTAACGAAATTGTGAGATAATTTTGCCGAGTGGTGTATGATCGTGTTAGTCAGACGTATTTACTCTAGGTAGTACGATAGTTTTGTGTCATGGGGAATTGTAGCCAGCGCCTGTCATGTAAACGTATGGAAACCGCAGTAATATAACTTTGAAATACAAAATCTGAAGCAATTGTTAAGCTTCGGCCCCGTGACCCGATGATGACTTTAGTAGTCTTAGGTGTACAGACACCGACTAGCATTTAGCCTTAACAATTTTCGCGACAAAGGACACCGAAGGAGCACATGTATGCCGCTAAAGTGGGTCTTACTTTGCCCCTTTACCAACATTACACGTTACCGTCAATTTCGTTGGCCGGCTTAAGTGACGCCTGAGTCAGAGCAATGCCTACTGGTGCCCCTTGATGCCCCTTGAATTATAGCGAGTCGACATGGATACTTCTGAATGCTACCCAAATAAGTTATATTTTTGCGCTACACTTTGCTTCTTGTCTCGGAACGATACGAGGAAGTATCGAGCAAAACGAATATAGTGTAGTCTGGTTCAGGCATTCACTGATAACGGTGGCTCAAGCAAAAAAGGTGCCGTGAACGAAGATCTGGCCAGGCAGGATGCAAGTCGCACGAATTTGTCAGGAAAAAAACCTAAAAGAACATAGCGCGATATCAATATCTCGAGATGCGCAAGAAGAAAGCGATCAACAGATAAAAATGATAAACACATGCTAGTGGAATTAAGGTGATATGCGGTGTCCGAATTAGCATAAGGTAGACTCAAAATAGAAAAAAAAAAACTCTGCATGATTCGATAAGTTTCACAAATTAATAATAAACATTTTTGTTGTTTGGTACAGTCAAACGTGTTCAAACGCTCTGCTCTTTCTAACCGCAATAAAAATAAAATGGGCAATATAATAACTTTGTAGCAATACAGTAACTAATTCCGGCTAAAAGAAAACTTAGTTAAACTGTTTTCATAACAGCATATTAATTACACGTTTCGGTCAGGGCCTGATCGGCCCACCGCGATGGCATCCTGTACTATTATTCAGCTGTATAGATCCTATTGATTTTTTGTAGCTGATAATAATTGTAGTAGAATCTGGTACCAAAGCTTATTAGCTAAATTGAAAGGACGTTTACTTTTACTCTAGCTAAACTAGAGCTGCACTCGTTCGCTGTCAGGTGCGTTTAGAAGCAACAGTTTAAGGGTAGTCTGTATCATTAATGTACCTTTGGGAAGATTTGATGGTACCTATAGACGTGTAGTGTAGTTCTGACGATGACTTTTTCCCCACCGTATAGTAAAGTAATACCTTCCGGTAGTCTCCCTTAATCGTACTTAGTCGAGCCGTTCAAGCGCTACTTGCGTAATGGCGCACGAATTGAGTGAGTGATTGTCCAGCTAACGAAGACTCAATTAGAACGGAACTCGCTACACGTTAGCCGATGTTTGGTATTCGTTCATAGTTGTGAGCTGATCATAGGCCACCGAGGAACACGAAAAAAAAAAAAAAAACGTGCAAAAGAAACACCATAGTCTCCCCCTTGCTTTCGCGTACATAGCGCCTACGTTAAGTGGACACATGTAAGCGTGGCACGCGCACATTTGACGATTGTCGTTAACGAACCCTTTCGCCCTCGTGCAGCTACTGGTAGGAAGTCGTGTAATTTATTGGCGCTGTAATGTAGTATATCACCAAAGGATCACTCGAAAAATTGGGGCAACCAAAGTCATTGATTTGAATTCGATAGCGGCTTGCCCATTTAGTATATACGATTTGTCAATATGGACAGACTTTCCTCTGCAAAAAGACCGTTGTGCCTGCATCGGCTGGCTCAGGTACGCGGTCGTTTACTAATAATTTAAAGTAAATAGGGGAAAAATATAAACCATGAAATAACGCACTACTGTATGAGGTAGACGGTTTTAGCTCCTATAAACAGATAGATAATGTATAAGACGAGAACGCTCTTATTTCTGTAAATAGATGTTATTTATTGAATGAAAATAAAAACGAATGCGCGTATAGTGAGCTGTATGACTAACAATCGGTTGAATCGGTTCCATACGTGGATACCGTATATGCCCCCTTCAATTTTTCGATAGATAGACGCTAGATCACAAACCCGTTGATCTGTAAACATTTTTTTTGCTTTCCGACTTCGCTGATTTGACCTAAAAAGAAGAGCACTACACAGCTGCTGACTTAGTATATTGTACTACTACTACTACTACGCGTGGAAAATGCCCAATGACGAGGCAGATCTACAACCGGTGAAATATCGTTGACAGAGTAAGTTGAATCCTTCATCCCTCATTCTCTTCGCCTTTTCTTTGCTTTATAGTTCAATGTTTATTTTGTGCTCTTCTGCTTTAAGTGGGGAAACTGGGCCTCATAGAATAATTTCCTCAAAACTTTAAAATTTCTCATCTGAATCCGATTCTCGAACAACGGCGTGTGTCTACGCGTCGGTGCCCAGGCCTTACCGGGTTGATCATATTTAATAATCACGCCAGCGAAGAATTACGATGAATGAAATAATCATGAACAATTTATTTCTAAAAGTCAGCTTTACCGACTTCAGTCTCCTTCTCCTGAGTTTTGCGCTAAGCTAATTCAGCCTGTTGTCTAGAGATTCCCAAAAATTCCTTAGTGCTTCCTCGACGTCGGGACTGTCGTCACCATTTGGAAGCTCTTGTTATTATTGGTCCCCAATGTGTTTCCTTCAACAGACCGGCCCTTTTGACGATAGTTCTTCACTTACATTCTATCATACACATTGACGCGTTACGCTGTTTGGAGGCTGCTTAATTTTAAACAGCGCTCAGCTAACAGAAGAGATCGTTAAGCTGATGAATGCGGCCAGTTTTGGTAATAGAGCCACTGGGTATTCAAGCTAAAAGAGCGCGAAATCTTTAAAACGAATGTAATATTTGTGCTTTTCGCTTTGTCCACAATATCGTTATTAAAATGATCGTGAGCAGCGCCATCGTCGACAGCCGTCGAATGTAGTCTTTTTTTTTTTATCAGTTTTGATATTTTGATATCTAGAAAGCGTACTGCTGTTAAGCTTTAACGTAACAAAGCAGGTCAATAAATACGAAAGTCAAATTTACAGTCAAATCATAGCTAAAAAAGCTCAGTGACAATATGACCCGTGAGTTGTACAAGTTTAGCTTGCTTCATTAGCAAAAATCTCAAACCAAAGCATTTTAAAAGCTTGAAAAGGATACGCCAATGCGTGTTCCACAGCTCTCCTGTGGTGTTGATGGACCCTACGGGCACTAATGACCGATTGATAATGTTAGTTAGATTGAACACTTAACGTGCACCGCCGTAATTATAGTTATGGGAAGAACTATCGCAGATAAAGGTGATCATACTGCTGCTTCAGGACTATACAAAGTATAATGGATACAGTTTTTTTACCAAACTGCTACGTGACTATCTAGGCGGACATTTGGCAGACATGGGCATTGGCCTGCAACACGCCCTGCCTCCCGGCCGTCCGTGTAATCATCGCCGATAGACAGCTGAAGTAACAAAGCCTAATGAGGCACAAGGACGCAGACGGCTAGATTAGCAGGACAGTGAATTGCCCTCATCATCCGCATATCGTTTACTTTTGCTCGTCGTCGCCCTTCGTCCACTTGTCGTGCTAAACATGTTGGCCAAATTTCTCGATTCCTCCCCAACTCACCGTGGGACGCCTGATGAGGGAGCGCGAAAAAGAGAGAAAGAAGCAGACCAAAACGAATGCGCACGACTGATCGCCGTAACGATGTATTAGATGAATTTTGTGTTTCTAGGCGAAAGGCCTGAACACCTCTCCGACAACAGAAGCAGCGGCGATCTCAGCGCTCTTGTGACGGCCCCACGGCGGCTTTCGGTCAGCTTTGTTTAAGCGGCAGCCAACAAGCTTGGAGGCAAATCACACCTTACGCAGACGACACGATACATAGATGCACGTATAGTTCTATGCATTTAGTGATGCTTTGAACGCTGCTGCTACCACTATTACGGAGCACCCAGAATCTATTGGGTTCGATCGTTCCCCGATGCATGAAGAAGATTGGCCCTTTTCTCTTTTTGCCTTCTTCGAACAGAAGCCTTGACGATGGTTTATTGACTTGCTATCTTTGTACGTACATATCTCACGGGAGCAGGGTATTCGTACGGCATGCTATGACGTAGTTATCTAAAAAAAACTCTCTAGCAGCAGCGTCGGACCGTCAGTTCTGGCCGTCATGTTTGTGTCCACAGGCTTTACTGTGATGATTATTACGGAGTAGGTCATCGAGGGGCGGTAGAGATCGTAGGGTGTTCTGAGCTTCACTAACGAGCAAAGGTACCCCACAATCCATGACGAGCTGAGCTGAGATGAAGCCAGGACTTGGGGAAAGATGGCGGTACCTATGCTGGCCAAAGGGCACTGAGATATTGAAGGAGCGCCCTAAACCGCTTGTAAGACGGAAAAAACAAGGGCAGAGTGGACGAAACCTTGCGAGCTTGAGATCTCTAGCATAGCGCTGACGTATACGTGCGCACCAATCCGACTCAGCGTAACAATAAAAAATGGCGAAAGCAGATACCACACGTGGCCGCCTAAACACGTGATGCTGCTAAAAAACTAAATTATTATTTACATATTCCAGGTCTTTATCGTTGTTAATATAATATTTGGCGACCGAGTGTACCGATACGCTTCAAACTACTTGATTCACTATACGTACCGAAAATCATACATACACCTAATCGAAATTGTGACGTACATCGGTGCCTCTTTTTAGTTATAAGCTTCTGCCAGCCCATTATTCACACTCTTACAGAATCTGAGACCTTCTCGAGAACACCGCGTTCACACCCAACCGCGCGAGATATCATCAATCCACAGTCAATTAAACCCAATGTTTATCATGAAACTGCCGGACACAAAACTATCGAGGCGTCGAACCGTACCTCTACAGGACTAGACATATAGAGTATATATACAGTAGATCATATACAGTAGATCTATGGCAGCTCTCGGCAATACTCAGTTCAAGTGTTTTTAGTTATGAGCGGCTTTTTGGATTTTTTTTTTTTTTTTTTTTTACTTGGTTCTTCCGCAAGTTTTTTAGGTTGTTCACACACAAACTGTTGGCACACAGTAATCTTGCCATGGGCATAAACTCAACGGATCTTCTCCCTCTTCATACCCTGTCTTCGTGCATATTATACGGAAGTTCCTGTCGGATCGAAATAGCCATTGTCGACAATAGATACTATCATTCTTGAGGCGTTTCGAAACGAAAAAAGCAGACAACTTCAATTTTACCCCCTTCCTTCTTTTAGCACGACGTGCCTACCACCGCCATTGTCGCGCCAGTGTCACGTAGAACCATTGATACCGTGGTTATAACGACCTTTTTAGAGTCGGTGCATTGGATTTTCGCTATCTGCGTTGGATAGCGTCATGTATACACGTGACGCATTATAGCTATTACCGTTTCGTCTCGTTTGCTTGTGTTATGATGCACCCCGCTTTGCTACCGTCATCCACTAGTTGTTATTTGCCATTCTGATAATTTTCTACTATTATTATGGTTTTTGTTGTTATGGTCGGCACTTATACGTGTATCATATCGCTTGGTGGATGGGAGCAGAAGGAGTAAACATAAAGCGGAATATAAAATTTATTTTATACAGTAACATCACACTTGCCTGGCAACCTGAACGTCGGTTCGAACGCCACATCAGAACGCTAGCTAATACGTCATGACGTAAAAACGCGCGCGTAGTAATATCAGTTTCGTCGACTCACAAAATTGAAGCTATAATATAATACACGAGACGCGTGCCGCGCATAACTCGGCCATATATCGACACTGTGTTGTCCATACCGAGACGATGAGCTATGCGAATCCAAGGACTGCGTACCGCGCGGAGTTGGCCGTCGCCGTTTTGTGCGTTCGGCTTTAACTAAGATGGCCCACAAACAAAATGTTTTATGTAGAAGATGGAGCAGCCGGACACCGTTGTGGAATCGCGAATAGACTTGCGAATAAACAGATAGTTGTACTAACTACCGTAAAGAAGTACTGTATATATAAACAGATTCCGTAGACCCGACTAAGCGATGCACTATTAGAGGTGCAGACCAGCATGCACATGCGTGACGTGTAGGTGGCCTGATTGGCCGGCGGTGAAAATGAGTTCGAGATGAGTTCCTTCACTTTCGACCCTTAAATAGAAGCCTTTGCTGCTTCTCAATTTGAATGTTTAATGAAGATTATAGAGTGCATAGATGTATACTTGTCATTTTATAATCCGTAGCCAGTTTGCAGGTCAGCGTCGAGAAGTTTTTTTTTGTTAAACAATATTGATTCAGCGAGTTTTAGTTTCATTTTTGGCTTAGTTATAGAATACGTGCTTCATTTATAGACCAGCAATACTCGAGCAAAATGTTAAGTTGTCATTGGACCTCGTAACTATACGCGCACCTTTAGAGGGTCGCCTGTTAGCGGTATCCGCCGAGCAGCGTGGAAAGCAAACTGCGTCCGAGAAGAGAATCACGGTTTTTGACGACAACAACCAGGTTCTAAGGGATTGACGTTGCTGTTACTTCTTAATTTTTTGCCACTTCTTTCACCGTTGCTATGTATGGTAAGGTCAACAGCAAAGCGAAAAGACACAAAAAGAGATACATGGATGGCTATCGGTTAGTCATCGATGATGATTGCTGTTTGAGCAAGCTCGTGAGGCGGCGGCGGCCCCTTCATTTGGTTTGGCCTGAGCATCTGGCTGGATAACATGCTGGCGAAAAAGTAGCAAGCCTATCCTATGAAATACAGCAATAGCTTCAAAGACGGTCGTCGTCTTCGCCGCCGTCCAACGCTGCCTCAGGTGCACGTAGTTGTAACGCCGCCTAGTACTGTACCAACAACAGCAGTGGCAGGATTTGGCTGTATATAGTGGACAGCGCACGAGACGTCGGTAAAGCTTTTTTGGCTGAATAGCGTGCTGTGATGTGACCATACGCCCCTTGCAGACACAGGACGACGGCCTGCTTTAGAGTGATCTAGAGTAGCGAAGTGTCGACATCCTTCTGCTGCTGCCGAGCCGAAGTAGCCCCACTTCTATGCTACATTTTACCTGCCTTTGTTGTACATACGTTCTCGAGCCGATAGATCGACCAACCAACCGGTCAGGTACGCATCTTAGGCCACGCAACTCAGTCTATACGGCCCATAACCTGCTGCCAAGCTAAGTGAACGGTCTTTATATTTCTGCTGGCGCTACTGAGAGCAGCTTAACAGAAAGGAACGGGGGTCTATAAACCGACTGAGTAGCCTGTGAACGTGCTAGTGAAGGCACGAGAGAAGTCACGGGTCCCGCAGAACCTGCCTGATTACGATGACATTCCTTCGGAACCAGGAGGTCCATGTGTCGTTGGATGCTCCAAGACGAAGTATTTAGACGACTCAACCTCATCATCATCAGCACCAGCAGCAACATTGCAGGGTCAGCGATGCTATGCGGTCGGCTATGTAGCTCACTCAACACATTCCCGTTGGGTAGGACAGAGAACAAAAAAAAGCGCCTTATTTGAAACATAGGCGTTGCATGTGTGGGGTTCGAGAAGCCCAGTGGCTAGAAAAGCAGATCGAAGCCATGCGAGCAATGCGATTGATGCTCAGCTACTCTCTACAAACCTAGGTCGCTGTCTCTCAATCGTTCCCTGAAGCCTAATTTTCTGCACTACCCTCTCTTTTCACTGCAGCTTTTTCTAAGTAGTGCATGACCACTGTGGACAGCACAGGTTACGATGTTAAGAAGCGTTCAGCCACATAACCCTCGTAATAATGGTCGTGGGCTCTGTGGCTGGATTGTAGTGGTCTGTGTCCACCACATCTCTATATATAGGTGTATACCAGAGCTAATACCGCTGACGGTCTCTATTGTTACCTAATCAGTAGCTCATTAAGTGATCATCTCTTCAGTGTGACTACGTACACACCTACGTGCTACAAAGGGATTCGATTCCCAAACTGAGGCAGCTAGCTAAATAAGGCTTCTCGTAGACATACATTCATTCTGCTTAGAAAGACGTGGTTGTTTGTAGCCCTCCGGATCCCGTTTGTGTATAGAGTGGCTTGTTCATCATATTAAGACATCCACGACCCAATAGCATCGGCGAAATAATACGACACTGACTCAATGGAGTTCCATTTGATGTCATTTTCCATGAGACTTGCAAGATTGGCCACCGAAAGACCTCATCTAGGAGCTGGTCTTTCCTGGTGCTGCAAGACCGAATCGGGTGGTCATACTTGTCGGCAGGAATTGCAGGGTAGTTCCAAGAGAGAAAACAGACACGGTAACAACGATCAACATTACACTAACTATTGGAACATACGAAAAGACAAAGGGCAGAAGAAGAATAGCATGAGGAGCCTATACGAATCAAACAAGACCTGGTACGGGAAAAGACAACATCCCTTCGTAGCCTCTCCACCTGTGTGTCTGCATATCATACCATGTTAATGCTATTGTTCGTGTACTATCGCTAGAGTTCAGTCTATGAAACAGTGGCCTACAAGATTACCGTTCAGAACTAGAGGACTGATAGGATTATAGCGGCAAACTATTTCTCCAGTAACCTATGCATAATGTATTATGTCAAGCAATTGTTTACTGATAAATATAGGAAACATCGGCTGCGACTGGAACGTACCCTGATCGGAGTATGCTGGCACTAACTGTATTCCAAGTAATAGTGCGAAAACCATCGCAGACTGCTCCTGAAGCAGCCTAGTACACATCATCATTAAATTACGTTACTGTTTTTGTCCCCTTCAATAACTGTCCGCAAAAAATGCACAAATACAACAAAAGGCACACTCACGAAACTTTTACGCACCGGCCGGCCGAAATGTGCTCTGTTGTTTTTGAGCTTTCCACGCCAAAATAAACAACAATAAAAAAAAGAAGAACAAACCAAGTCACAAGCTAGCAAATCTATCCTCAGTCCTTTTTACATAGATGCACAGATCGGCGATCACAGACGGGACGTGGAATTACGTTGATCCACGCAGAGAATCTGCACACATATTCACAAATCGTAAAATAGTAATTAAGATCAAACTGAGGAAATTAAAAACCGGTCACGTTCGCGTAATGATTTTTGCTGAATCTGAAAATATGTTAGACTGTTGACTAATAGAGGCTGTGCGTAATGTATATAGAAAATATATTCGTGGTACTTTTAATTGTTTTAGCTACGCAACGAATCACGACTGGCGGCTGTGTTTATATGGTCTTGGGGGCTGCTTAAGGAGCATCTCCAGCCCGACTTTCGACTAGTCCAGCAAATGAAACACTCGACCATACAGATCGAAGTCGTAGCCAACACTGGGTATCTGCTTCACCTAGAGAAGACCAGGCAGCCGTCACCGCTAAGTCTTTAACCAGTGCGGAGAGGATTTTGAAGATGGCGAGGAGGCAGCCGTACTGCCCGAAGAAGACTTCTGCTGTTCAGCCATCGCATCGGCGTTCCTGCAACTTCTGCTGCTTCAGGCGATGTCGTTCGTGTAAACGGCCGGCAACAGATCTGTAGGGTTTTTAAAAGTTGAATCGAGGCGCTCTATCGTACCGTGCTATCGCGATGCCGCCCATGTGAAGGACGAGCTGTGGACGTCTTCGAGTTCACGATCTAAGTGTGTGCTCGTATTTGCCAGCCAGTGGTTGAGTCGTATAATAGTTTCCGAGCTTGTTGCGCTATCATGTCCGAAAGGAACTTTACTGAATCAAGTCATAGATGTATTCCGGATTGATCCATCGACTTGGCTTCATACAGAATATGTTTCGGCTAAGGCAGCAACAGACAACGTCATATGAAGGTTTCGAAAACGCATCGTGCATAAAACGCTCCGGGCCGTTACAGCTACTGAAAGACTAAATGATCGTTATAGATCATGTCCCACTAATGTGCGTGCGCACCTTAAGCAATGTGGAAGCTTTTTTGCAATTGGGGTAGTTGTCTACAAAGTACCCATTAGGAGGGCGCGACAAAAGACAGGCAGAATGTCAGGATCCCTAAATGATATTCTCCTTTGCCGAAATGGAACATTATACGTTTTGAAGGAAAGATGTCTGCGACGTCGACTAAGCGAATTAAACCCGGAATGCAAAGTTAACCGTCGGTACTAAAAGTATATATGTTATAGCAGGTTAATTCGTGCTTTTATCTATTACAGAAACGTGCCCCATTTTCATTCGGTGCTGGTGGTGAACAGCAGTGCTATGTCCGTATCCGATTCGGGTAGGCTTACTCGGCTAATCAGCGATCACAGCAACAGTCGGCGCTACCTGTGCAGTCTGCCTCTTGTATTGCACTCGGCGGAGATTGTTATGTTGGGTCAAGAATTAAACCCAAAATGGTCATGTCTCCGTTACACGCCACATCGTTTTTGGGTTCTAACGCCTTAAGAACAACGAAGGCACGCGATGCGGTCAGGATATGTCTGGCCAAGTTATGAGACAAGTTAACTATTTAAGATTTATTCAACCGCATGACGAGTACTTACGATATATTCTACTGGATATGCGTCATTGTTGCCGCTTAACGATATAACTCTACCTTGATACAGATAAAAGAAAGCTATTAAATTCAGTGCGTAAACCTGCGCCATCCTTGACTTGTAGGGAGAAAAGAAGATCGATTTTATGATGATGTGGTATTAACCTTTTTTACACAACGCTACATGATTCGTTTTTCTATTTATCGGTAGATAAATTAATTTGCATTTTAATGCGTACCAGTTTAGATCAGGAGTTGCGCATGAAGCCCGTGCTCTAGCTAGATCTTGCTGTTACATTCACGTTATGATAACGTTATAGTTGCAAGGAAAAGATGGAAGTTACTACAACTAGGGAACTTAAAGCTAATCCAGTCACAAGTGGTTTGTAGGACCGTAACAAATGACGCACATAACGGGTATCTTATCTCCCAAGTGTATTTGCCATCATTAGGACGCTTTTTTTCAAAACCCTGCACGTCTTCTAGGTAAGAGAACTAGTATTGAAAATAGGCTGACAGAGCTTATCGTAAGAATTCTGAATTTTCCAGCAAGTACTGCCGTCAAGCATTGCCTCAGACCAATTCATCCTCTCTGTTTCGAGTTTTACGTCTGCTATCGGCGTTAGGTTCCATTCCATCGGACAGACGGCTGGCAGGCTATCAGCCCTACGAAATGAAGTCGGACAAACTCATCTTGTGGCCGGTCGACCTTTGTTTGTTGTCACACTCCTAGTTTAAAACTAGCTTATCAATCATTGGTGATCGCAACAGTGATGCAACAGAAAAATAACATTAAATGAAGAGGCTTGAACAGAGTTTTCAATCTGCTCGAAATCGAGCAAAAGAACGGCCTGTTTGCTCTTAACTAAAGGCAAAGAAAGCTAGAGAAACTACACAATGCAGATCAAGAGATAGCTGTGGATGTACTGTGGATAGTACAAGCTGATTCGAGTCGAGCTCGCTGCAGATCGGCGACCTTATCGACATACTATCTTATATTGGGTACGCGGAAAGCTTCCAGCCGTATGCCTGAACCCTTCTCTCGCGTCTTTCATTCCTTAGTCGAACATGTCTGTGTTAATATGATCAATTTACACCGAGGAGGTCAATCGACGTCGCTATACACTTCGAGCGACGGATTTTCCAGCGACAACTGCTTCTCAATGCTTCCCATTGAGGGTAAAACACTGTTGAGGCCGCCGGAAGATTTACGCTGTACACGCAAAGAGTACGAGCGCTGAACGGACTGCTCGATATTGTTATATGAAGCTTAAAGACGGTAATTCGAATTTTCGCGGCGCATCGGGAGCGTTTGAAAATGTTTTCCAAAAACATATTCCAAATACAACAACCGTCGATCGGGTCGCTTACAGTTAACCTTGACAAAATGCTGTTGACACGCAGCTGTATTATGCTGAGTCTGGTTTCATCGATTGGATAGGTAACAGCATTCCCGATCCGGCTGGTCGACGGGTACCGCTTCTTTATTATTATTTATTTGTTTATTATTATTTATTGCATTATTTGTTTAGCGTTGCTTAGCTTCTTTATGGGCCTTTTTTTTTTTTCGGAATTATCTGGTTGTACGACCCAGTTTTGTTACAGAGTACTATTGAAGCTGCCTAGATCTTATATTCTGTAGTTCTATGTATGTTTAGAGATATATGTTGAGATCTGGGTGCCGGTGACTTACTAGTAAAACAGACCAATCGTTAGAACGTTCGACAAGTCCAAGGTTGAAATAAGCATCATCAAAAACGTCTGGAAGTTAGCTACAAAAGCCAAATAAATAAAATTCTTCATTCGAGAACGATCGGTTTGCATTGATTATATACTATAGCGATTTAAATTGCGCACACGTATGCTAGCATTTGTGATAAATTATTCATAGATATTAAAGAAATCTAGGTATTCAGTATAGACTGTTTGAAATGACTGTTTTTTTTTCTTGTCTTCACCGATAGAACACTCTCTCGTGCTTCAGATAATATTTTTTTTCAAATGTAGCTTGTATATCCTGCCATTCGGCGGTATAACTTATTCCTGCAGGGTAAGTACGAAATTGAACCGTTAGGCCACAGACAAGCGGGACGTCGGAGGAAATTTAGGATTTTGCATTACCAACCGCACCATATTACGTGGGAATATGTCGAAGCGGTAGAATCTGTACGCTAGCAAAACGGGCAAAAATGAGCCACATTTTAGAATCGAGTGGCGTATGCAATAGCACCACACCTATGTATAGCGAAAATGATGCTTGTCGTATTAGTAATAGCGATAGTGTGCTATTTGCACCAGCTATCAATTGTAGCAATAAGAAGAAGAAGAAAACGACGATCACACTATAATCCGGAAGAGGGGAAACCGTTTCATTCATGCTGCGTTCCTCTTTCGGCTGCTCCTCGCTATGGGACTCTATGCGGGCTTTGTACGCGAAGCCAGTGGTGAGTAGGTTATTAGTATGGAGGGTCGTTTAATCAGCAGAGGCGAAGCTCGACTACCAGTTCTACACGGTTTTTGCAAACATTGCCTCCTTCCTGCGTGACGCACTGTATGTGCACGCCCAATTTTCAACTAGGTTTAGTCCATTCAAAGCTTATAGCTGTTTTTTCAGGGCTCTATGAGCAACAGGTACGATTGTTTTATGAGAGTGGTATCGTTGAAATGTTTGTCGCATTTGCGGAAAACAGGGATACATTCGATGGGCAAACTCATCAATACACTTACATTTACGTTAGGACACAATAGGGTGCGCGCGTCATCGGGACAGGAGGCAGTATAGCACGATATTCCTACGGAAAAATGGAAGCGTAATGATCTCGTCTGTAAATATAGCAACAGCGGTAAGGCCTCGCTGTGTGTCCTTTACGAGTGTTGAAACAGTAGTAGCTTGTTGGGCCATGATTCAATGTCATGCTAAGGTCCTAACACGCTTAATATTCAAGTTACACTTAACGAACGAATAACTAATTTCCTATTCGTTAAACAGAAACGTAATTGATCTATTATTTTTGCATTTACGCATTTTCATTCTCACGATTGTTGTCGGTAGAGGCACCGGCTGCCTGATTAGCGATTTGTCTAGGACAGCGTGATTTAAGGGAGACAAAAGAAAAACCGTGAGTCCCATATAATTTCATCAAGAATGCATGTAGATGTATGTAAGGCTCGGAGTGAAAGCGAGTCAAGTACACATACAACATATGTCATTCTATGTGAACGGTACTTTTGGATATGCGTACATACTATTCACGTACACGACTATGCAGTGCAGCTTTGGTAAGTCTCAAATTTGTCCTGTGTGGGGGGGACAATAGATTTTTTGACAGCTAGATAACATATGTAACAGAAATTATCTCTTTTTTTTTTTACGGAATATTACGCAACAATAACGAAAATCAAAACTACTACTATACTAATACTATTTTTTAGTAGGCTGGGCAAATACGGGTCTTCGGGGTCAAATATTGAGACGTTTTGGTCTCTGCAATCAAACCAAGTACCCATCCAACTGCCCTGCATATTTCATGGTAAGCTGAACCTTAGATTAAGACCTGGAATGGTCGATGGCATAGACAAAGTAGCATAATTTCCGGATCACTGAAGCTGCTTTTCGGGTAATTTAATACTGGGCACCAGTCAAATATTACCCTGCGCGGAAATTTTGTGGTGTGTATGGACGTTAGACTGTTCGTTCACAAATTCCATGACTCATCTTGCTAGTCGTGTTGTATCGTCGTAAAAATCGTCGAAAATAGAGCAAAATACGGAATCAGATCAGTCTATGTAAGATCTTTTTTAGCTTTAGCGAAAATGAATATCGTTATGGCCATAACTTGTTTATCTTTGGCTATATTCTAAGAAACAATAAAAAATATCAAATCAACCAGTGAAGCTCTGAAGCTGATGATTTAGACCCATGAAAGAGCTGAAACGGTTGCGGGTACTATATTGTATTGTGATGATTATTTCGAACGTCTAGCTTTTAGACACCCGTTCGACTACGTAGTTGCATGGAAGCCCATAATTGATGTTTTTGACTTATGCATAACTGCATATCTTTGAACCTTAATATATATAAGACTTGGAAGATTTTCAGTTTGGTTCTATGTTTTAGCATCTACAAACTCAATGGCATCGTCAACGGTACTGAAGGCTTTGGATCTCGGACTAACGAATCCGACTGATATTGAAACCGAATAACTTTTGAACTACACGTCGCTAGCAGACGAAATTTGGCAGATAGGTACTCCACTCTTATAGACACTTGCGAAAATCAGTTGAGGAGCAATAAGCTGCGGAATAACCCAACTACTTAAAATACAAAAACTGAGTAAAAAAAAGGGTTCCCCATAAATTGGCTGCAGGTCAGTTGGAAATTCGGGCGGTGTAATCGACGTGCGGTTTGCGAAATTGTATTCAAACAAAAAAGGCACTTCTCCCATACGGTCGCCATAGGCAAGGCAATCTCTACCGCAAGCCGGAGAGGGACCAGTGAAAAAATGGTGTCGCCTTCAGAAGGAGTCGATTTCGGCGTCAGTGTTGAGTGGGTTTGAATGTAAGGTAATGGTACTACTTCTAGTGGACATCGGGAAATCTGCTGCTTTGAGATACTTGCAGAATTGAAATAATAAGTACAGTTCACTAGCTTGAGTTCCTCGAAGGACCTATAGATCGTTGGCACAGCAATGAACAGCATGCAATCTGGTTACTCAACGCCATACCTCAGTCATTTTTTTCGACCGAACAAAGAAATATTCAACGTTAGCTTCAACCCGCTTATTCTACCGATCGCCTAATTACTTTCTATGCTACAACGAAGAAAACTGGCGGGAGAGCATATACCATTATCTAATTACTTTAATAAGCTATAACTAGAGAAATTACATATGGGAACGCGAATGATAGGCGTTTGGCTATCCAGAAACCTTCAGAGCGCGTACGAGATAAATGTATAAAAATAAAGGAACGTATTTCTAACACATACTGAAAATCAACATTATAGCCCAACTAGCTTAAAGGCTATTCAATATGAAAGTCCGCTTGATTCATCTCTAAGTGCCTGGTATTACCCCATCGTGCTAATCCTAAATGCATCTATAGAAGAGGCTAACGTGTAGGAAACATCCCCAGGATATATGCAATATACAAGATTTTGCTTGTCACTAGCAAAGATAAAGGGAGGATTTTTTGCATCTACCCAGGTTCTCTTAAATCAAAAAATGTAACTTCGTCTGTAATGTTTTTCCTATTACTGTATGCCCTTACAGATGGAGCAAGTACAATTTCCTTTTAGATCTTCCAGCCACCAACAGCGGACGGTTAACCTTTTACGTATTTCAAAATAGTCTGAAGTTCTGTACACTTAGCCAACTTTCAGCAACACAACGACAAAACAAACAGATGTTAATCGAGCTGAATATTGGATCTTTCCCTAATGTTTCGCGAAGTCTACAACTTCATTGTTGTTTTTTTTTCGGGAAGTTCCATTAGGACTAACCAGTTCAAATGATTTGACCCGAGGACAAGGCGTTTCTTCACGGTCAACAGTATCTTCAGCGGCATCCACTATTAACGTGCATAGTTCAGTGGCATAGCGGGTACAATTGCTTGTTTTTCTTTCTGTTGCTGTAGATGACGCGGGAATTTCGAATTTTCAGCTGCCAAAAGTACGACGCCGCTGTACGCGTATCACGCGAGCATATTGTTATCACGTAGGGGCGAATCGCTAGTTGTGTTATGGAATTAAACAGAAATGTTTGGGATACTTCGATTAGAAAATCATTGAACAAACAGCACTTATCGACACCCGTATTTAAGCTATGACAAGTATAGATTCGTCGAGTAGGATTGACAGACTTGACTAGCTGATTACTTCAAATCACAAAGTGGAGTGCTCCCGTCTGATGACCCAAAGTGAGCTCTGCTTTAATCTGCGGTTCACATAAATTAGTTTTTCTTTTGGCGTTCGGTTGAGTCTTTTTCGTCACCTAACCCTTCTAAAATGGGCATTCGTCGAGGACGACCAAATGGTAAAATAAGCAAAGACTAAACTCCAACCGATCTACAAACAGGGTTTGGCAACTTTTGTTATGTGTCAGGAGTGTTTTTTCCAAAAATTCTAGCCACTCAAAAACTATTGAACTGCGATCATTATAAACGCCTACATATTTGTGTTGGAGTCCAAAAATCCATGTACTTAATACGGTAATGTGAGACTTCAAAGAAATGGTTAGCAGCATTCACTGCAGTTATTCTAAGAGCCAATGCGCGCATGTTCGTACATTTCAACAATGCCGAAAACAATGTAGCAATCGTTACTCACTGCTTCGGCATGCTTTACATCGACGGACGATATTTCTACGCGATTCAAACACATTATCATTTAGTAATAGTACAAGTGTGACGCACGAGTATGGACAACGGCAAAAACGGGACGAAACGACAGAAGGGCAGCTAAAAACTTCCGCCCTGATAACATCCCAAATAATTTGCCCACTTGCAAAGTCCCTAAGTTAATGATGAACTTCGGGGCTTTGCGTACTTTTGGGATGACGCTGTAGTGTCATCACATACTGTCTTTTTCTCTTTATATCAACGGACCCAGTAGTGTACTAGCAGTAATGTACTGGCTGGAAGTGGTCACTTTATTTCGCCCCGTTAAAATACGTATCCGCGCGTGCAGCAAATGTATACGAGGCCATAGTCGCACAGAGCTTGCGGTAATGCGACCGCACTAACTATCGCTACTTAAAAAGCGACAGAGGAGAGTCCTAGCTGCGGGACCATGGCGGTTACCCTTGACGACAGCGGCGTCTCTATTTTCGTTGGTCTTTCCATAGAGTTGCCTGGCCACTACTGACTCTACTTCACTTAATCTGGCGGGGTTGGAAGCCAGCGCTGGCTTGGACGAGCGGTGATGGCGCAGGGCTTATAATAGCACCATGGTTTCTCGCTGTCCTCCGAATCGTCTGCGACGCGTTGTCAAAGTAAATCATTTGTGCGAAAGTAATACCGCAGATAGCGAAAGTAAATGGTCGTTGTGCCGCGTCATGTCGAATGATTGCTCTACAGAGTTGCTGACGCTACTGAAAACAGACGGCATGCGTATTTAGATATGTCGTCGTCAGCGTTTGTCTCTGAAATAGGGCAATTTTAACGTTTAAGGAGGAACGAGGATCAACAACAGCGTTAACGGTAGCTAATATGCATACCAGCTCTAATCGAAAAGAGACAAAATATTCGAAACAAAAAAGGAAGTTACTCAATTGAGTAAGATTGATCAGATCGGACGTGAGTGACACTCACCTATAATCCCATAGGAATTATTTCCGTGATAGAAACTTCCCAGTTCGTAGCTTACTTTGTATCTTGTTTACTGCAGTAATCGCCTAAATCGCTGCTGAGTGGTCTCATAATATAAATACAGATACTTAGAAGTTGAGAAAAGGGCTTTACGTACTCGATTAAGTATTTGTTCGCGTGACCATATTTGCCACGTCAAGAACTATTAAGGCGGCTATTATCTAGACGCACATACATACGAATTGGTTTATTCACGACTTGAGCTTAACTGGTGTACTAGTAAGTTGTAAGTGAGCAATCATTGCCTAGCAAATAAAGCTTTAAAGCACTAGTGCAGGCCAGGCAAGAAGACAAACACCTGTGGGGCCATCTCAGGTAACTTGTGAAATGTGCTTCGTAACGAGCGAATCTCTGAGGGATAGTACAGGGGCATCTTAATAGACCTATTCTCAAGTTCCCTCTCAGACCAAGTCGAGACGTACGCACATTTAGGAAGCATTTTTCTAGACGTTATAGCTAATCAACAGTAGCTAATTGATTAAAACCGTTAAGTTTCTTTCGCTAAAGTTAGAATTACAACGCATTTGGTAACATAAACTATTATCATATTAGGCTGATGTATATCCTATAGTACAACTTGATCCTGTCTAGAATAACTTCCATTTATATATCACATATTAAGGAACTAAGATAATAGGTCGGAAGTAGAGGGATTCCGATAGTATACATGTATATATATATACATACGTATAAATGTTTTTTTTTTAGAAATGTATACTGCAGGAAGCGCTATAAGTAAAAAAAGAAACAATGAAAGTGTTGTTCTTCAGATATCGTAAATAAAGCCAAATTATTAACTTCTATGTGTTTTTTTCAATATTAGTGAGCGAGTGTTTTTCTGAATGACGCTTTTTGAAACAGAATTTTCTGCCGGACGAATGTATAAACACTAAACGTTATATCCGAAAAAAGAACGTCCTGGTTGCTCTCGATTTTTCAAACTGGAGGACATAGCCAACGGCAGATGATTACCAGAGGGGAGAAATTCGCAAGTTTCGTCGACCCGGTGCTTACCTCAAGTTGAACAAGGTAGTGAACTTCTCAGTAATGGAGTGGGCGGTTTCGACTGTCGTGAAAGATACATTGCTTTATAAAGATAAAATTACTACGCGCACAAATCAGATGGTAACGCGAAGAAGACAGTACAAATACGATTTATACAGAATATATACTGGATAGTGTGGAAGCGTGGATAGAACTATTAAATGTCACACTTCTCTAAGCTCTACACTATGCAGTTTCCTTCTATGTAGACAGACCTGTGTACTGAAACGTATACGAATAACTATAAAAGTTTCGGTTTTTAGCTAAATGGCCTTGTTTAACCAAGTCCTGAAATGGGCGTCACTGGCATTGTGTAATCAATGTTGCACTGACAAAAGGGATAACAACACAAAAAGGTTCAGACTGGCACTTTGATGATTGTCATTTCTCGATTAGAGTAACGTCCACTACCTAATCTTGGCATACCATAGAAATTTGTATTGCCGATTAATCTTGTGAGCTACGTTGTTTTCTTCAGGACAATAGAGAACAACAGAGACGGACCTGAAGTTCCCGAAGGGGCTCTCTAACGAAGCGCAAAGTTCTGTCGTAACAGCACTAAAATAAACATCGTGTGAGGCCTTGATCTTCACGATATTGAAGCAACTAATTGATACCATCGGGCTGCGAGTTGCCTGGCATAGTGCTACATACTACAACAAACCTAGGCTGGCTATCTCTTCGTAAGTGATATTATTAGATCACATTCAAACGACTTTAGGTCAAATAACATGTATATATGTAATAACATGTAACATAGGTAAAATGTTAACTGTTATGCAGCCATCTATGAACTTCACTTTCGTATATAACAGTTCACCTTATTTTTCGTTTGATTAGGTCTGGATTCGGCAATTACCGAATATACCGATAAAGCCGGCTTCCAGAGTGATCAGATTTTACAGATAGAGTAATGCTAAGCCACTTAGACATAGCAATGTCTGTTCGCATTGACTTCGCAACCGATCGCATGATAAATCCATCATAAATATGTATATGTGACTATTCACAGCATTTATTATTATCAATTTTCCGTCACTGTTTGGCGATTTACAGCAAAATGAAGAGGTAAGGAATGGTACCTCGGCGAAACACAAGAACGCAGAGAATGCTGGTACAATATGACGAGTAGCTAAAATGAATGAAAAGAAGCCAGTTTAATCGTCCGAACCCACGCTTCATCGGTCGACGACGGCGACAGCCAGAGTTCTTGCCGTTGCGCATTTGGACGCGGAAGAGGATAACGGGGAACTGTCGTTGACACGTGAGAGCTTCCTACCCGTTAGTCTTTGGAAAAATATAGCTAAGAAGTAATCGACTGGCTATTTACTAGATACTGTTCAAAATATAAATGCGTTTTAATTTAAAGCCGTCACTATATAGATGGTAAAGAAAAATTTGCAACATCGACCAAATTAAATAGAACCAAGGCGCCGGACTATAACTTACGATTGAATCGATGTTCTTGTATTGGTGTTCCACGTTTTTTCCGTTACGTACAGCTTCAGAGCATTACGTAGAAACTCAATTGGAGACCACCATTGTTACCGTGAGGTGAAATCCTATTCTAATCTTAAGCCTTCACTATTAACTAGGGCGCAAACGATACGATACTAATAAGTGTATCGGTCCAGTGAGCCAAAGGCCGATACGAATTCGCTCCTTACTGTATTGTTAATGGTTGTTACTATCCGCATATATGGGTGCGCATAACTTTCTTCGAATACTTACGCAGGCCTATCTCTATACAGATTTGGTAGCTGTGACAATTTATGTGTAAATCGATTATCTTGTTGAATGTTGACAGAATTGAATTCCTTCGTTAATTCCCATGACAGTCCCGCTTCGATAACATGACTCTAATTACAGTAAAAAACAACGTCACACATTCTGCTCTGTCTGTTAATTCTTTGAAAGAAACGTTTTCGACGTGAACGAGCGTGTCGACAACGTCTGTATTCATCTTGGCGAAATTCGAATTATTGGGTAGACTAGAACCGGCTCTTTGTTTGCGCCTCTACACGGATTAAGCATGAGAAAAGCAACGTTAGCGATGACGCGGCTTCAAACTGCCGTCACGAAGCCGCCTGCATTGACGACGGCCGAGCACGAAGCCCGTTGCGAATAAGGTTTCTGGATCCCGAAAGAGGAGAGCGCCGTTTCGAGGTTTTTCACGATTCGTGGCCCAAGTCCGAAGAAGGGCTCAATCGCTCTCTTGTCCTAACTACTTCTGCTGTTGGGTTTTCGGCTGGGCCTTTCGGAATCGGCACTTCTACAGGGCGGTCAAGCATAGCGAATGCATCTCAAGAAAAACACAGCCTAGTCAGACAGTTCACACGTCTGTCGAATATTTAGCAGACTTATTTGGTTCGATCGGCAGAGGGTTTGATAGGAGGAAGGTAAGAAGAAAATGTGACTAAAAGTTGGAGCGTACGACAGGTAGAACTTCGTGAGCCTGCTGAATATGGACCGAGTGTGAACAATGCCTGAAGGCTCGCGTAGCCATCTGAAAGATATTAGCTTTGATTTCCCACCCATCCATCCAATGAGCAGTTACTGACTCGCCATAGGGTGATTATTTGCAGGCTAGACTAACGCGATCAATAGCGAAGCTTCAAATAATGAATAGACGGAACAGAAGAAGTTGAAACCGGGAGCAGAAAGTGAAAAGGTTCAAGACTTCTAAATTATTTTCAGTCCCGTTTCCCGTGGGTAGATCGTCGCTTAGCTCTGGCTGTCATTTGTTATTGCGACAGCTGATACTGAACGCTATTGTCATTCACGGTTATTCCGGATGTTGTGATAGGGCTTTCCAGAACCGTCTCGTCACCAATCCGAAATCCGCGGCGCCAGCTTGACCCATCTAAATATCTACATAAACCGCTATAGTAAGTGACGGCCGCGACCGCTCGGACCTTTGAACGCGCTGCTTGGTTGGACTAGAACTAAATGTTGGTGCTGCTGCCCTTGTACGGGGGCAGTGCGACCGTAGACCGTGACGTACATACTGCGGTCGCATGCACCTGGTGGTTCTACCTTCTTCCGTTGCTATCTGAAGCCCGTTGTCACTGGGGCAGCCCACGCGTTGATCGACAAGATCAGCAATGACATCATGCGAGCAGCGCAGATTTAAGACCGTAAACTGTTGACTAACGATTGACGCTGTTGTCTTCGTGCTGACTGAATGACTAACGGACCAGAGGGGCATATTGCTGGCCAGACTGTAATGAAAAGCCGGAACAAAATGAGGCTTGGACGGGGTCAATACCCTTGTCTTTTGTGTTTTCTCAGCAAGACGTGATTTGTCTGTACCCCCCTCCCCTCCACCTATAAGATGGTGCGTCGAATGGCGGCACAAAGATTCAATAGCTTCTCGAAAATTCTCTTTGACGAGATAGACCCATCGTTGGCAGACCACCTTCCTTGTTGACTCCTCCCTCATCGCCGCCATCACTGCTGGCATCGCTGGGGAATCTACGGGAAGCTTGTCATTGCATTGATATTACAATTGTTGCCCTGATGCCATCCTTGCTCGAAGTGTTTATGCCTACTGGCTTGCTAAGAGTTACAGCTGTTGTTGTTATATTGAGCGTTTTGTCGTTCGCACTTACAATGGCGCTGCATAGCAGTTGTCGAGCGTTTCCAACTAGTAAGGGTGTTTCTCCCATATGCCCTCACCCAACGCCTTATGAGAAGTCAATGAACAGTGATTGAACCAAGGAGTTTATGGGCATCTGGATATCTATCGACGGAACTCTTTTTACAATGTTATCATAGATAGCTAAACGCCCAACACAGTCTATTGCTACGCGTTTTATCCTTTGCTGTATGTGTTCATGTTTCGGGCGTAATATGTAACAGAGGTTATAATAGATTATCAGCGATGGCACGCTTTGTTTAAGCACCCAGTAGGATCGGAAACGGAGAAATGACCTGGAAAAAGTCCAAACCATAAACAGCGTAATGGCTAAGTGTACCTGAAGACTTTTCATTCATTTAAAAAATGCGGCCGAAAAACAAAAGTCAATGTTGCGATGCCGTTCATAGCACTAATGGCTGTTTTCATTAGAATCACAGTGGCTCTAGTAGTGATTGTAGAGAAAAATGCAACGGCAAAATTATGAATCGTAAAGCGAAATGATACTGGTGACAACTTAGGCTGTCAGCAAGGGTTTGTCGCCTTTTCGGCCCCGGTTGTTTGACAAGTTGAACTTCCTTAGTCTCTATCTAATGCGCCATGTTTCAATACATATGTATCCCGTGCAAGTTTAATACCCCGTTCATACCTTGCCTGGCTGTCCGTCTGTTTCTTGGTTTGTTTGTCCGTGTCATAGATTTTGAAGATGATAACTATGGGAGGTAGTGAATAGTTCAATCGTTGTATTCGTTACTGTCATTTTACGACGCTGACGCCAATCATGTCGCGGCGGCAAGCTGCGCAGCAATACGGAACAAATACGGCAGCATCCGTAGAGCTGGCAATGTTTGGCCGCGACATTGACTGCATAATACTATATAGATGGTTCGCTTGTCGGAACCGCTACATGGAAACATATGGCGATATCGGTACGCAACTGACGTCGCGCTAGGACAAATGCCGGTAATACTAACTTGAGTTCCTATATATTGTTCCCTCTAATTGGACAATCGCTCATTTACGCTACGTACATAGACAGATGTTAACGTCTTTGGAGTGTCCGTATGACAGTACGTTTTTTCAAGGTAGTTGGCATACTGATGTGATCTCGACGCTGGCGGCATGTGCGTTAACCAAACCGTACTAGGCGTTATATTATAGTCTACGACAGCCGCTCTAGCTAATTCCGCGACCGGTGCCGGGAAAACGAAACGCGAACCCTCAGTCCTGAGGAGTCTTGATTTGTTTCCGGATCTAGCAACGATCAGTAGAACATGCTTGTATAATTGATTTTATTGTGCATGCAATAATGATGACGGCAAGGATGCAGTGGCAGTAACCACCTCAGAAGTAGACGCACGAAACTATCTCGAGCTATCTGATTTTTATGCGATTGAAAACTGTTGAAAGGATAATTAGTTAAGTAAAACAGCCGAGGAACAGAACGTGCTATAAGGATAATCAGCAATGCACAAAAAGCGCGTATACACTTACTGATTGTATTCCGAAAAGATAATGCCCACCAGACTTCTATCCAATTTCATTTAGCCTGCATCCTTTGCTGGCCTGTTTCTACATTGAATAGTAAATCAGCAAAAAAACTGGAACCATTGGCCAGCTTCCACGTCATCCCGCACGTTTCCTGCCTCGTGCGAGTAAAGCTCATGAAGCCACCTTGCTTCAAATGGCTGTATTTTCCCTTTCGGGTACTAATATCAAGGAGCTTTTCAGCGCGTCTATCTTTAGTTTTCAGGGCGAAGTTATTCAAAACTATACAAGAGGACAATAGCGGGACGAAGAAGCTAGCATAGGTAAAAAAAAAAATATATTGCCAGCATTAATTGTCGCCCTGCAATAGCATCTGCTGACAAAAACGGTTTGACCGTTTTAATAGTGACAATGTGTGTCAATAGCTCGAGTAGTAATAATCATCGTGTTTGTCTGTAGACATCGAATATTTCTAATTATTTTTCTATAATAATAAAAAAGATGGAATGATTGCGTATGGTAATGAAATGACCCATATATCTATGGGTAACACTGGGTTGGACACTTCAGAGCGGGACTACGCCCAGCCTGTTATTGGAGTGCATCCATTCCTACCCGGAGCGCAAACTCAAGTCGAATCGAGGATTGTTTTCTTGGCTAGACGGCATTATAGTCAGGAATGTTAGGCAGTATTAGAATATAGCAGGACTAGTGTCACTTTCAAGCTAATGTCTGGATGTGTTCAAATAGAGCGTCTCGAAGTTCCCTTAGAAATTTACCATGGTTCACATATTTAGTACGATAAAAATACAAATAGTGCCTAGGGTCAAAAAAAAAAAAGATACGTGTCGCGCTTACGGGAAAGTTAACGAAGTTATCGCGAATATTGGGAATGATATTGATAAAGAAGAGAGCTTTGAATCATTTGAACAGAAATCTATCTGTTCGCTAGCAAAAAAGATCGATATTCAGGTGCCATACGGGTTGATGAGATGCCGCGTTTCTCTCGCTGAGACTCTATAGGAACGCCGTGAAATCGAGCCATTTCTAAAGCAGCTGATTGCGGTTGATGAAAAGCAGATCATATGGGGGCAATATCTAAAAAAAGAAACGTGTGTTTTACGATTTGTGATAAGGTCCAGATCTACGCAAAGGAAATAATGCTTATGATGTGTTTGGTGGGACTGGAGAGAAATGGCGTATTCTAAGCTGCCGC